CACACTTATCCTATATATATATATATATATATATATATATATATATATATATAATTGGCTGTCAGACAAATTTCTGCTACCACATCACCTCTTATATTTGGACACCTAACTTCTCAGACTGCAACCACCTTGATTATTATGAGTGCATTGCAGTTGAATGAGAGAACAGCAAAACTATTTGTAACACCATAGATGAATTGAAGATAAGGATTATGGCAGCATTCAGCAACTTAAACAATCTTAAATGAGGTGACCGTCCACAAGAGTTGCAGACGATTCCGAAGTTGTCTAGAGGTCGTGTTTGAAGCTAATGGTGATTTTATTGAAAAGATTTACTCGTTTTGAGCAGTTTCTGGTAAATATATCAGTTAAAATGAGATGTCAGTATTATTTTTATTTTTGCGTAATTATGCGATAATTTATCCATCGCACCCTGCATATATTAAATTAGTCGGTCAATATTTTTATACATTTAACGTGTCTACTTATTTATGCCGTAAATATAAGAATAATTTCATTAACGATAAATTTATAAATCTTATTGTTGCATCACCCAATCCATATTATAATTTTAATTCGATGAATCTTTAGGTATTTGGGGATTCCATTTCGTTAATGTCTATAAAAATTGCCAAGATTGTTCTTGGGAAAATTGGTGGATTATTTTCAGATTTGTCTTCCTGGTTACCATTTTGATTTTGTCCAACACCTCAAGATTCTACTTAACCATTATATCAACCTAAGAACTCGAGTCATGTTCTTAAATAGCCTTGCCAGATTCAGACTTTCATGGGGATGTCCTGAACGCTGTCGAAAGCATTTAGCAATGTCTAAACCAGAGGTCGCAACATCCGCCCTCCGGGCCACACCCGACTCACGACTCCTGTTATTCCTGCAGTAAAATAAGGAACTTTGTTTCAATTATATAACATTAATTTCGTTGTGTTTTCTTTAAAACTCCAGACAAGACAGCCTTCCGGACGGAGCGGTCTGAGGTTGAAACAATTTATTATAGTACATTTGATATCATGGCCCTTCTCCGAGACAGTGCACAGCAATGTGGCCCGCTCTCTCCAAATGGTTGCCCACCCCTGGTCTAAACTTTAAACTGGCGATGTGTTAACAGTTATTGCTGAATGAGTCTGTCAATCTTTAGACACGCCTAGTGAAGCTCGGACAGAAGCTTTAGATACCCCAAAGGTGTTAGGCAGGCATGTTTTTCTGCATCACTAGCTGAAGGGTTATTGATTTTCTGGAAGAAATTCAATTTGATTCAGTCTTTAATTTCAAAGCACGAAATGAAAGTTATCTAGAATGGCCACTCTTCTAGATCATATTACGTTAATGTGGGTGTCTACTAAGACTATCCTTCGGCTCAGTTTATTTCTAATTTTCATCGAAGATATTCGCGATGTCATCAGTTCTCGACTTGATATCTATCATGATGACGGAACCATTTACTCTTGTATTAATGATAAGTATAATAGATTTAATTGGTTCAAGTTTGCGGCTGACCTCATAATGAACTCTCAATCTGTTGTTAACTGGGACACGAAATGGCTTGCTGATTTTAACTCATCCAAAATGAAACGGCTGTCATTTAATCTTCTGGGAGAACCATTTTTGCCTTCTATCTTGTCTTGTGTTAAGCTCAAAGAGACTAACTGATTACTCCTTCTCGCGCCAATTTTTTCCACTGACATATAATGGAACGACTACATATCAACATTTGCTAAGTTTTCTGCGAGGAAAGTAGCTTCCCAGTGCCGTTCTAGAAAATTTTTCTCTATCTTTCTTTTTATGTATCTTGTAATTTTAAGTGCCTAATTAGTCCTGAAGAGATTGGATAGGGAGAAAAGATCCATGCTTTTTCCAAGTGCAAGTGAATTTTTCCAGCCGATTACATTTTCCGCGTGAATAATATTTTCTCCTCTCGCACACACAGGCACCGAATCGAAACCGACGTTCAAATAAATAAATAAATAAATAGCCAACTTCTTTTAAAAGAAAATCTAACATGTTGTTTTCTGGGTTTAAGAAATCCAACACGTTGTTTTCTGGGTTTAAGAAATCCAACACGTTGTTTTCTGGGGTTTTAAGAAAAAAAAAGTTTAATGAACAACGTTAGATAAATATTATCATTTTTTATGAGAGCTATACCTCAGCCCATTTGCCTTCATTACAAATATGATCTGGTCATTGATGGGCCCTAACACCTTCAGAAGAAAATAAACCTGCGACGCCCAGTTCTCTCTCAGTGACCCTAACACCTGCTTTATAACTGGTTAATCCAGCCTCACTTCACCTTTGTATATGCATAGCTGGCCACTCTTATTCGGGAATACCCTCCTATTACAGACGCTTGTACAAACGCGTTTGTGTTTATTCAACACTCACAGAGCCCAACTATGGTTTATACTTATCAGACCTTAGTTACAATTTCTGGGGAAGAGCATGTTGACCATGTTCACCAGAGTCTATGAATATAGAATCCAGCGAAGTACGTAATCTGTTCAATGAAACAACGTTAAAGATTAACACTCACGAGTCAAACACTCGACTGAATCTGACTATATCGCCAATACCACCAGCAGCTGTTCCGTAATTCGATATCAAAGACTGGCAGTGATATTTAGCCACCGCCCCCACGAGGGTTACATGTGGCACAAGGCCATAATTAACGTGTGATCTCCGAGCCCGTAGGCTCGGCCAAAAATATTCCCTATTCGAACGAGACTCTGCCATTTGGCGGAGCATCGTTCGGGTTATCAAAGGCTGGCAGTGAATATTCGGGAAAAACATGGCCGCCTTTATACACGTCGCATTGAATATTTTGAGCCTTCTGATTGGTTAACCCTTCTATTGGTGAACTATAAAATGAGTCAGCTCATTTTGGCTGTCTCACTAGTACACCAGGACACCCCAAAACTCCAACAGAGCTTGTTATCTGGCGTGGTCAACAATTTGAACAAGGTTCCGTCTACCCAATTTCACTCACAAGGCTTGGGTCAACTCGAAAGTATGGTTTTCAGGCACTTTCCGAATGTGCGGCACGTTGGGATCGACCTCTCCAGTCTGATTTCATTTCCTGACAAATCGACTATGATGAGATTCGAACCCGGCTTTCATGATCAGAATTCGAACGTTGTAACTACTTGGCTACTTAGTTCCATACCGGTCTGATAAAAAAAAAATATATCTAGTAATATTTTCTTACAAAGTTAGGGAAAGTTTCTTTTCAAATATCTTTCACGTTTTCAGTTCTTTATTTCTCGTGCAATCAGGCAACTAGGTGTTTTACAAATACCGTTGGCCCTTAGATTCAACCCACACGTCAAGTGGAACTCTTACATAAAACCCAGTGCGAAAGATGCGAGGAAAATTGTCGATTCCCTCTACCACTCCAGTAAGTGCCTGATTCTTTCTGATATCCTCTAATTTTACAAAAACGAAATCAGACCCCAAATAGAGCAGTAGAAGCTACACAAACCTGACTTTCCTGTCTGGAGAGAGCCCAAAAGCATCTCCGCGTCCTCGTGGATGATAAATTATTTTCTACCCTAAAACCCCTCTCTCATAGACAAAACCTCACAAGTAACTTACGGCTATATACCTGCTTTTATGGAAAGTTCTCAGACGAACTACTTCCTTTAATTGTGGAACCATTTGTAAACTTCTCGGCATCGACATTAATTAAAAAAAGATACAGATATGACCATTTGTCACTAATTTTTAAAAAAAATTTCGTATTAAAATTCCGAAGAAATGCAGATGAAGATGGGATTCTTTAAGCACAGTGAAGTTAGTCTGCTGAAGAGAATGAAAATCTTCGATATTGAAACCATATTATGAAGGTATCTTTACTGTTTGCTAAAATGTTTGCCTAATACAAGGTACAGGAACCATTCGTTCTAGAGGGTTACTGAATAAGGTTTTTTGTATGGCTGTCAAACAGCAAGCCCTACAGCACCGGTCAGAACTTTGACGACCCGAACTCAGTGGACGTCGTTTGAAGCTAGTAAGAATACTGACAATGATATATTGTCTTTGTGCAAATTTTATGAGACAAAACAAACAGTTCGCTAGAGGGAATTGAAAAGTGGTGACCCTTTGTCTCTCTATTTCTTTAGTGAGACAGAGCACCACGTGTGTCTTTGGACAACCTGTTGACATCCGACCTCACTGTCTAACCCCCTCTCTCTCTCTCTCTCTCTCTCTCTCTCTCTCTCTCTCGCTCGCTCGCTCGCGCGCGCGCGCACACAAAAACACATACTCACTCACTTCCTGCAAGAAACGATGCTCACATTACTGTCTCCCAACTGAAATAAAGGGGAGGAAAGCATAAGATTTTTCCGTCGTTCATTTCATTCTGCGATGCAAAGTTGCATGTAGCCAAAAGCGACACGAAACACAATTCGAGACAATCTTTAAGAACGTCTGTCCAGTGTTGTACCACTCGAACCAAGCCTGCAAGTACAGACCTGTTGAGCGGCTTACGATATCACTTCATTACAGAAGAAAGAAAGAAAGAAAGAAAGAACAAATAAATAGGAAGAGCCAACCAAGTGTTACCATAGCAACATACCTGTAGGATGTGTCTGAAGATACCGTCTCGCCTCACCTGGAAACGAAAATGATGCTAGAAAAATCGATAAAAAGGACAGGTAAATTGTTTTAATCATATTCCTGGTTGCAGTTTAGTTGCAGGTGAGGCGAACGGCTGACATTGAGAAATGTCTATGTCATTTGCACAAAACGGTTAGATAACCTGTTCACATAACATCGCATATGTAGGTGCTGGAAAATTCCTACATATTATTACTATTATTAGGATTAGTATTACATGTAAAAAGGAGAAATGATATTATTCTTAATTGCTTTTCCTATTATCATAAATATTTTACTCAGGTAACAGGCTTTATTATAGATTCTTCACAGATGATATTAAATAATAGATTCATTTAGAGTTCGCAACAGCTAGTCAATCAAGTTAAGCTCAC